CCCGCTTCATGGGGCAAAGCGTTGATAGGTGCATTACAACATCTACCCCCTCCTCCTCCTACGATTCTCTCGCCTTTTTATCCTTCATTTTTTTTTTACCATTTCTTTCATTTGCTCAAGCTTTGCCTTGATTTTCTTCGAACCTGTTTTCACATCATCCGACTCTTGACTCGCACGTTCTCGCTGAACCGCTGTGGTTCTAAAAGATCTTGAACCTAAACAACACATGGGCGAGTGTTTGGTCTCCGAAAGAAGACTCGCAGAAACGCTACTCTCTGTGGAACGCTGAGACCCAAGAAAACCAACGCTGGATAAGAAAGCTGCAGGTACAGCATACTTGAGTTTTGGTGGAAAATATCTAAACCTTAAGCATTTTGTTAAGGCTGAATTTAGGCGGAGTGCCTGGCATATCGAGCAGGCACCCGCCATGTTTTTATCCTTTGTAGTTACCAATCCTTCCGCGTAGAAATCGACCGAGCAGAGAGGTGACTCAGTACTAAAACAAAGCAAACATGGCGTCTCCCGGTGGAATCTTGACCCGTATCAGAAGTTTTATGCAACAGCCTACGATGAAGAAAGCCGTGAAGACGATTTTTCCGGATCCAATGGATAAATTTAAGTGGCAAGATGTTCTGTGGGACTTCAGAAGCAAGGAAGCTCTTGAAGAATGGACGCTGGTTACAGATGAACAATTTGGGGGCAAATCTACAGCTGAATTTGTGCAGAGTCCAGGCGGACGAGCTATTTTTAAAGGACACATTTCTACCGAACTACCGCCTGCTTCAGATGTTAAGTACACCGGAATGTGCTCTATCAGAGCACAGCCAAAATGGGTGAGCTATGCAAGACTGTTCAAGACTGTTGACAGAACAATCAGACCCCATCCCCAACGCTTTGACATTTAGTGAATTACAGGTGGTATAATCCAGGTTTTGTTGATGCCTGTTGTTGAAAGGGAAGATTATTTTGCCATTACAACCTGGAATGATAAAAGCGAATTTTGATGCTATGTACCTCTAAGACTACATATAATGTAATAATATCTAATATCTAATATATATAATATAATATATATTGTCCTAATCCATTCTCATGTCATAACTTGGGGGCTGAGTCAGTTTGTTAGGGAAGGGGGTGGGGGTCCAGTTAACATTCTTTGGGGGGGCATAGGAAAAAAGGGAGAATCTCCAGATTTTAGATCTGTAGAGGATGGCATCTCTTCCCCCTGCACAAAGGTATCACGGTTGTCTAAGCTTCTTCCTTATTTGTCAGGATTGGATGGGAGATGTGTTAACAAATGACATAGCGGATTTTGATGGTATTCAAATGAAGCTAAGAGGAGATGGCAGAACCTATGCATTTAATGTTCAAACACAGAGCATCAGGGAGGATGACGTACACCAGACCTTTATCCACACAAGAGGAGGACCACTGTGGGAGATAGTGCGGGTAAATCACAATCAGTTATTACATTGTAGACAGATTTAGAATCATGTTGGCAAAAGGCAATTTCTATCATACAACTGGGTTTTTTGTTTACATTTCCTTTACTCTTTATTATATCTTTACACAAAATTAATAATAAGTTTTGTGACAGGTTCATACATAGCAATTCTTCTGTTAAGTTTTTATCTGCTTACTTCTAATTTAAGAACTTGTCTACTTGAATCTGGCATTCATTGTTTGCAGTAAATATGTATGATTCTACCAGTAAGTCATTCTCTTACCAGCAATATTGATATGGTGATATTTATTGATGGCAGCATCACTTTAGACTAATAACTTTGTCCTCTTAACATTTTTAATAGATTCCTTTCACGAAATTTGTTCTCACAAATGCTGGATACTTACAAGATCATCAGATGGATTTTCCCAGAATACGAACTGTTGGATTCACTCTTGCAGATTACAACACTGGACCATTTCATCTGGAAATTGACTATATTAAGCTAGTTATGTTCATGTACCAGCCAAAGCACTTCAAGTATCACCACAAACCAAAGGACTTTTGATTTTATACAGTCAGGCAAACAATCTTCTTCTCTTTCCCTCCATGGAGTCTATTAATAATTATTAACTCTTTTCGGTGCAAAGGTGGAGAAAATATTATTGCAGAACATAAAAAAGACAACAGTTATGTTTTGACAAGAGCTTTCAATGTGTCTTTCAAAAGTCACACAGTAGAGGTTCCTCCAGACATCAAAACTTCTGACAAATTTGTTTGTCATGTATTTAACAACCTCTAGAAAAGCAAACACTGTTTGAGGAAAGTGTTGCTCTGTAGCTTATTAAAGCTACATGGCTGTCATTCTGAACTTTTGGAGAAAGAGATTTGGTTAGTAAACAGTGCTCAGAAGCTGTAATTTAAGGGGTTCATAAAATAAGGCGTTAACTGAATCTTGTCATAGTGTCAANGATTCCTTTCACAAAATTTGTTCTCACAAATGCTGGATACTTACAAGATCATCAGATGGATTTTCCCAGAATACGAACTGTTGGATTCACTCTTGCAGATTACAACACTGGACCATTTCATCTGGAAATTGACTATATTAAGCTAGTTATGTTCATGTACCAGCCAAAGCACTTCAAGTATCACCACAAACCAAAGGACTTTTGATTTTATACAGTCAGGCAAACAATCTTCTTCTCTTTCCCTCCATGGAGTCTATTAATAATTATTAACTCTTTTCGGTGCAAAGGTGGAGAAAATATTATTGCAGAACATAAAAAAGACAACAGTTATGTTTTGACAAGAGCTTTCAATGTGTCTTTCAAAAGTCACACAGTAGAGGTTCCTCCAGACATCAAAACTTCTGACAAATTTGTTTGTCATGTATTTAACAACCTCTAGAAAAGCAAACACTGTTTGAGGAAAGTGTTGCTCTGTAGCTTATTAAAGCTACATGGCTGTCATTCTGAACTTTTGGAGAAAGAGATTTGGTTAGTAAACAGTGCTCAGAAGCTGTAATTTAAGGGGTTCATAAAATAAGGCGTTAACTGAATCTTGTCATAGTGTCAAATTTCTCTTTACTCTCAAGCAAATATGGAAAGAAAGTATAGCATTTTATCAGAAGTCACTATTGTTATTCAAGGATATCTATTTTAATGCACCTTTCCATTAGTTATTATGTTTAATAAATAAATAGCAGGTCGTCATGGGAACAGGAGGTCATTATTTTTAATAATGATATATTGTTTCACTTTAGTGACTTTAATAATATTTTTATAATATTGGAAAGGTGCATTTAACCAGATAGTTCCTTCACTCCTTGACCATCCTATAAGTAATGACCTATTGTCACTTCCTCCGTCATTTTTAATTTTTTTAGAAGGCCTCAGAGCTTAGGTTTAATTTTAATTAATTTTCTTAATGTCGCTTGTAAGTGTAAATAGTTATAAAATAAGTAGATTTTCTTTTTTAGATTATTTATGTTACACATGAGTTTACACCAGCTGTAGGCTGATTCATCATGCAGAATAAATAAAGCTTTTTTAATATTAATTACCCTATATTAATTCTCAGACAACTTAAATTTCCTGCATCTATGCATAAAAATGTTTCATTCTTGACACTCCTTCTGACCGCAAATCCATTTGTTTACTCTTTCAGGAAATTGCTCTTATAATTCCGGAGTCCACACTCTAGAAAATGGGATCTTGAGAAGCACCACTACCCAGTACCTTACTTTACCTACAGCCAACCCTCTACAATATCTTACAGGCATCCACTTGTTAAAACTTAACATGTTGATGTATAGGTAGACTGTTCACAGTCCTCTATTTTTCCGTAAGATCATCGAGATCGAGCGCTTTGCGTTACGCGCTGCCATCTTCCATGAGTGTCAAAACTACTTAGGGGGAGGGGGCGGTTTGGGAGAGCTAGAATAATCCCCGACGTCCACCCCCTTGGTACATTTGAAAATCAAGATAGCCGTGACGGTAAGACCCGTTATATCTAAACTATCCCACGAAAAAATAGGGGACTGTGAACAGTCTAATGTATATAGGGTTCATATGGGAAACAAAGCAAATAATTCATCACCTCACTTATAGCTTGGGCCTATTTCACGGCGTTTTTACGGACCAGTTTATTTTTAGACACATTTTAGGGCACTTTTTCTTGCGAAAATAGAATCTCCACAATGACTATGAGCGCATTTGAAGTATACGATACCAAAAAGGAAAACTAAACGTTATTAATAGGCAAAAAATATTATTTTAGGTCTGTAGGTTTTGCTGACTAGTTTGTGGAATGGAAAAGATATTCAAAATTCGCGCCAAAACCGTTCTAAAAATAAACTGGTCCGTGAAAACGCCATGACACGAGCCCATGGAATTTGCTCGCTCCGGGTTATGTTACTAGATGTATTAATTTTTAACAAACACTCTTGCAGTGTGTCTGGGATGCCTGTGGCTCAATCAACTGGTTTGTATGCATCCCCTATCTGACCCTAGTCCCCTATATAATATACATTTACCACTCCCCCCTCATTCATTAAATCAGACAGGTTGTTTCAAAGTTTGTTTTTTTTCTTTTGAAGATTTAACCAACAAATTAAATAAAAATTCTTCTTAAAGGAAAAAATAAAATATGAGTTGTCTCAAACTAGATATAGCAAAAACAAAACTAGCAAAATAAACGTCTCATAACTATCTCATTTTGGTTGAGATTTCAATTTGACTTGAAATTGTGTTAAATTAAAAGTTGCCTGGTCGCACTTTGCGAATAAAAAGTAAAAAATAGAATAAAATTCTTGAACTACTATATTGATATCTTTGAGGCAAAATTTTAAAACATACTCGAATATTTACACTGGGATAGAAATGATTACAATTGGATTCGATTCCAAATTAAAAACACATTTATAATTTGAGGAAATTGCATCTTTTGCATGTGAATTTGCAGTCTGCAATGGAAATAGCTGACGACTGGTCATTTTCGTTTCCAAGGTGATCGAAGACACGCGATCGTTTTTCACCTTGACCTCGGGTTTAAGGATATACAGTGCCTGGAAAGACTAACAGGCTTGCAGCCCTTGCTTCGCTTTATGAGCTGTCGACAACAGCTCCACCCCTTGTTAACAACATACTCTCCTGGATGCCGACTGACAATGCAAGTTCTCGTCTTCATCGCAGCACGAGGAAGAAACAACTGACACCTGTTGCACCTGACGTCTTCGAGTTGTCTGGTCAGAGTACGCACGCACTGGGAAAGGTTTTTGATTTTGTCTTCATTCGCGCGCATTTTCTCGCTGACGCGCGAGGAATCTTGTATCGCGCGTTGATAGACAACGCGGAACTCTGATTGCTGCAAGGAGTTAAAGAGTCGAGGCTTCTTGTCCAACGCCCATTCCAGGTCAGCAATGCCTGTGTTCTCTAGACATCTATACTCTACCAAAAGACGAGACGACTCAGGAAAGTTACTTTCTTGGTCTTCTTCTTCGTTCCAGAGCATAACAATTCTCAGCTTATCCCCAACGTTAAAAACATCGTTTTTAGTTCCGAGTTCTAGAATGGCCCCTACGAATTCTGAATCCACAATACTCCTCCTGAAGAGTGGCGAAAAAGCCAATATTTTCCAACGGCTGGAAAAGCTTTCAGCTGCTTTTTCCAGTAATTCGTCGACGCCTAAGAAATTTGCATTTTGAATGGTGCTGAAGATTTCAGTGGTTTCCAAAAGTCCTCCGTCCACAATGCCGGAGTACATAAAGTGCAAAATGGCTTCAACATTTCCTGGCGTTGGGAGATGAATAGAAATTACGTCCATATTGGTTTCGCGGTAGGCACCGTTTAGCAAAGCCCTGAAGTACTGGCTTCGAAGCACAAGGTATTCAGTGTGGCAATAAAACCTTTCTGAATTGAAGCAGATTAATTTGTCGGCATGTTCAGGCTGATTCACAAACTGCAACGCTGCTTCGCCGTCTACCACGTTGAAAGTTCTCAGCTCATCTTTTTCCGTAACCACAGCGCGGTTTTGAAGCACGTGTACCGTCAAACCGATAGACGAAAGCCGAGATATTAGACTATTCAAACCCTCTTTCATTTCATCCACAAGCTGACCAGATGCAACGACGTCTTCTGTGCTATTTAAACAACGGCTGAAGTCCTCCATTACAACGTAACTCAAGATGCCGTTTGGAAGAGAAACTGAGCAAGCAAGAGCACCCTTTTTTATATTTATAAGAAGGCAGCATTCCAGCGTTACACTCCAACACGAGGCAATAATCGTGAAATCTCAAAATAAAATTCCGGCAATTTTGCTTTTCAAATGCTAATGTATTGGACAAAAGAGCGAATAGTTGCGTTTTTGCTATTTTAGATGTTGGTGATTTGGGCATGTTGGGTGTGGCCTATCTTGATGCACTCGCAGGGTATCAAGAGGGCGGCTAATTCGTGGAACGGGTTTCCAAAATGTTCCTCTGCTCCTGTTTATTTTGTTACAGCGTTTCGCTGAATGCTCACAACGTAACGATCAGGTGCCTCGGAACATGCAGAAGGGAGGGGTCTTTTTCCTTCAACATATAAGGAGGCAGATTATGCATTTCTGAAACTAGTAACTTAAGAGTTTAAGCGACAAGTAGCTAAGCAGCGAATTCAGGAAGGATACTGGTCTCTATATGGCCTACCTCGTTTTGGAAATTCTAACCGATCCTGTCAGAGGAACACAAAACACATACCGAGATCTTAGGTAAAAATCCCCTGCCAATTTTGTTACTCACTTACCTCAAGTACTCTTTTCAGATTAATTTTCCCCATTTCCTTTAAAGTTAGCCAGCCACAATTCCATAGAAAAGAGAGACGATAACTTGGGCAGCTTTATTAGATATAAAAAAAGCAAAGAAAGGGTAGAGAAAAATTAAGAAAGTTCGAATTGGATTTGAAAAAAAGAAAGAAAAAGAAATAAAAGACTGATGAGTTCAAATTCTGGCTTATGCGCATACACAAAAAGAAAATATGCCCTTAGTGTAGCAAGTCACATGTTTTAACCATTTCCATAATAACTGGCGGAAAACCTGTCCAAAAAAAGAGGATTTGAAGTTTCCATGCCTGCGGAACAGTAGGTTGGTTACTCTGTGACTGCAATCAGCTGGTGCAGATGAACTTCCGGCTTTGTAGCCGAGCCTCACTTTGTTTGGGGTCCCATTCAGGAAAACGAACATACCAAAATGTCGTGTAAGCAGTGTATTTTTGGTCTTCTAGCGATATTTACTCTGGTTTGCCTTGTTACATCAGATGAATCGCATGATGGAGGTCAACATAATCCTTTACATGACTCTAAATTGACACACGACAAAGAGTAAGTAATCAATGACCTGATAACCTTCCCAATACTAAAATTTCCTACGTAGCAGACAAGCACTAAGCGGGGACAAGATCTAGTTTGTAGTTATGATCAGTTTATATTTGATTTCTAGCGTGTTGCATTTTACCTGCCTTTTTTTTGTTCTGGGGTATTTCCTACTAAACGAAATTTTATTTGGATAGGACTTAAAAACTAAGTGCGAAGTGGTTCCAGCACACTTACAGACTAAGCTTAATACTATTACACGTGTCCTTAAATACCCCATAGGAATGTCCCAATATAAAATAACTTGTGAATTAAATTATACGGCTTTCGTTTCTGCTGTAATAAATATCTTATATTTTGTAAATATTGTTTTTTTTTTTGTTATTTAAAAATCGTGTTAATTGTTGAGTTTCAGTTATTTTTTATCCACGTGAATTGGCGGCCATGTTGGTGGACAAAACAATAAATATTTTTTTGCAGAATTTTCTTGAAAAAGGGCCAACTGTAGAACAGTATTCGTCTAAAGTAAAGGAAAAGAAAACAGCCACAAGTGTTGTTAAATACTGTATCGCAGAACCTCGCGAAAGCATAATGCTTTTCGAAAAGAGGCGAGATGTTTCTTTTTGTCCATAAATTCAAGAGTCATCACAGTAAAATCTCGCTATGAACTTGGGACGGGCATGGATTGCGATATTGAATCATCTTGTTTGGCACTACAAAAAAATTACAAAGAAACATGGATTTAGGGCGTCAAGCCTTTCATTAATGCCAGTACATTTCAAAAGGATGAAATTGGTCCGACACTTATTCTTGAAGATGTTCAATTCAAAGGAATTGTCAGCTAGGTTGTATTTTGGATCAGTTTAGGTATCTGGGAAACTGCCCACCTACCCCTCCCCTAAGTCAACATTTTACCCTAAGTGAGAAGTTAGTGTTAATGCTTGCTTAAGGGAGGGGTAGGTGGGGAGTTTCCCAGAAACCTAAATTGATCAGATATTTTTTGTCAAGCTGTTCCACCTAAGTGGAAGTGAAATGGTATATTTTACTATTAATAATAATAAGTAATGAAACACAAAACGATTGGTCAAATTGCGAGGATGTAATAGCTCGGTAATTTTAAGGATATAAAGTTCATAAGTAGATTGAGTATGATCGTGCGGGTGAACGTAGTCCTGAATTGGACTGTTGTTGTTGAAAGTAACTGACATAATTTTCGACAACCTGTGCGGTAGTCATCTTCAGAGTCAAAAATACTGCACAGGTTGTTGAAACATCAGTCACTGTCAACAACAACAGTCCTATTCAGGACTACGTTCACCCGGACGATCAAACTCAACCTACTTATGAAATGACTCCCGGGTTCAAACCTCTCCAAAAACCCTCTTTCCTTTACCCCAAGTTTCAAACGCCTGCCACGCAGGCTACCCTTCTTTTGGTGATGTCCAACCAAAATTTTGTTTTGTCCAACCAAGAAGGTGTCTTAGTAGGACATATTTCCTTTCAAGAGAAACAAAATTCTTACAGCCCTGCCTTGTTCACTCATGTTTGGTCCAGTATTGAAAAGACAGGAAATAATGATACGGCAGATACAGGGCGTTGGAGATTGAAACCTGCTTAAATTTACATTAAAAGGTTCTGAAACAAGCAAACTCACCTTGCCAAGTAGGTTTGGTCGTAACTCCACGGTGGGAAAGTTGATATCAAAATACCTGGAGATTGATTTCTAAGAAAAAGAAAGACTATTATTGTCTCACACATCAATGCGCAAATGGAAGTAGTTTTAAAAATCAAAATATAAGGATAAGTTTTATGGAGAAAAAACAATTGTTTCTTTGGTGTAACCTAGGGAGTACGAAATATGTGAAATGGTATCAATAGTACTTGCCAGCCTCACTAATGTTCTGTGTTTCTCTTTTCCTGTGTGATCCACCAGCCGATTTATGGCGATTTCATCAGTTTTATTGTTCCAATAACACCCATAGAATCCTTTAACGCATTTGAAGGTTATGCAGCAATACATAAAGCACATATGACAAATGTTTCGAGCTTAGGCAACATGTGGTTGCTCCCAATACATCAATAAACCATTAACAAACACCCTGACTCTTTGTTCAGTTTAGAAGAACAAATCATACTCACGGGAGAGGGAAGAGATTTAAATCTGAGATAAAATGCATAACCAATAAGAAGAGCATCTCGACTGAGGATCAATGCAGTTAGAGGAACTGAAAAGAAAAACATGCCAAGGTTAGTGGATTGCTGCGCAGTACAAAGAGCATGGTACTGTTAATGGTGGCTAAGAGGTCATCCTTTTTTCCCCAGAACCGAAGACGAGAAAAAAAATAAAACTATGCAGCATGCTCTCAATCCACCGTGACACAAAAAGAAAATAAGAGACTGCTCGCAGTCTAAGTGGTGGGTCTCAGGTTCAAGTCCTGCCCTCTAAAAAGTGGTAAAATCATAGATCACACTGGCTGTCATTTGACACTTTAAGCCCCAAGAATAATGACAAAACTTGATTCCTAACGATGGTCTTGGTCATTGCAGGCATTTCTGTCCCCCATTTGTCCCACGCCCAATGGGCTCTCCCATGCATTAATTTCCTCTCTCCTTTCCACTACAAATGGCTGCCATGCATGCGAAAAAAAAAATCACACCACTAGTACAGTCATTAACCTCGCTTTACAGACACCTGCTTAATATGGACACTTCATTATTACAGACAGTTTGCTTTGCCCCTGGGGAAAGAAAGCCCTTATATTTTAGCTAAATTCAACCTGCTTAATACAGACCCTTATTGTGGCCCCCTCAGTGTCCCTTTTAACGGAGTTTGACTGTAGTACATATATTATAGTCAAGGTTTTATTTTACTTTTTACCAAACAACATTACCTGGTAAAAGAGACACCAAAGTTAGAGAAACTGTCAGCACAGACATGAGGATCTTGTCAGCCAGCGGATCTAAAATGGTTCCCAAAACGGACTTCTGGTTTTTAAAATTTCTTGCTATGAAACCGTCAAGCTACAGAAAGAAAATGTGAATACTCACATTCAAAGCTCTCATGGCGGCATCATTGGTGATTCATATTATTTTAATGCACAGATTAGAAGATACAAGTACCCCACTTCAGAATCTCATGGGATAATGGGTACCAGGTTTGGGTGCACTGACAAGTGTTAGTAATGTTTAGTAGATGGTATTCAAGGCAACCATAAACCCAATCAGAAATCAGTGCTTATAAAGAAGTGGTCATTGCTAATAGGACCGAGTGGAATCCAATTTGATCTTCTTAAAGATTATTAGTTACTTGTATCCTTATTACCAGTTGTGTTGTTTCCCAAATTACCTGTAAATTAGTCTTTTGTTAAATTCTGTCACCTTTTCAAGTTCTTCTTATATTAATGTTTTGTATTCATTTATAAATTTAACTATTTTATACTTCCTTCATAGCGTAGAAATAGCATTTTTCCTCTTCACCCTTTTTTTCTTTTCCTTTCATGCGTGCATTATATTTTGTGCTTCAGTTTTCTTGCTGACCAGTAATTTAATTTTATTCAATGCTGATGTCAACTGGCTGCCTGGCTCCACTAGCCCCCATGGTTATTCCAGGCAGCCAGTACTCTGATTTTTACTTTTAATATTTTCATTGTTGTAATTTATTTTTGAGCAAGAGTGAGTACAAACAAAGATTGTTGTTGTTGTTGTTGGAATCATCTGAGTGATTATCAAAACTGGATGATCGTGCAGCATAAATTCTAATAACCGAAGCATAATCTCACCATATCTGTGATTCCTGCGACACCAAACAAAGCTAGAGAGCTGACAAAATCCTCTGTTATTACCAGATAACCAAGGACTGGTGTTGCCAATATCCTGAGAGTTGACAGCAGGTTTGGTATCGTAAATATATCTTCTCTCTGTAAGCAATTCATTACGTGCTAAAAATTAGTCAGAGTCATGTGAAATTCCTAAACAAAATTTATTCTCAATTTTCTACAAACACTTTCAAAGACCACAGAAATGTTCTGAAAACTCAGAGTCATGGCCTCTGCTCTGAAAAGGATATTACTGGTACTCAATCCCTTTTTATATGAAGGCGAAAAAAGTAGCAGTAAAAGCTCTCCTAATGGACACTCCCGTAAACGAAAAACTCTACTTATGGCCATCTTCACAAAACCCTGTTTTTCTCAACCCCCCATGATACAAGCTCTGTATTTTTACATTTCCATAAACGGCCAGCTCCAGTTACAGACACCTTTTACACGTCCCAAGGGTGTCTGCTTACTAAAGTTTGCATATTTTTTTTATCTCTAAGACAACATTAATATTTTTTATAAAAAAAAATGGAAAAAAAGGTTCTAAAATTATACCCTTTTGGGTGCCTCAATAGTTTATTTATAAAATTATAACAAAATGGGCTGAGTTAAAAATATTTCAAGTAGCGCCTGTGAACTCACGCAAAAGTCAGATCAAGGATATGTAGTAGCAAGACATCTGGAAATCAGGACTCTTAATGAAAAGTAGCCGGCAAAGCAGGTGTATTTTTGTGGTGAGCAATACAATGTAGCTTCTTGTTTATTATGTTCATGTAGTCGCAATCTTGGATTTTATGACAAAGGAAGACTGAGGAAAGGAGAAAGAGCAACCCCAGGGGTAGTTGTTGGAGAGAATCTGCTTTTTTGCAAATAAATATGGCGCTTTCAGTGCAGCCAATGAAAATGCTTGCAATGCAGGCAATATGAAAAGTGCATGTTGATTGCATCAGGCCACCATCTTGAAAGCACACAGAAATATAAGGGGAGGGGCAGGGAGGAGAAAGGGAAAAGTATTTTTTCCTCCCCACCCCCTATTCTATATTTAAATCTGTCATCTCCTCTCTAGGAATCATTTCTTGACTCACCCCATCAGTTTCATCATCCAATATGGTGGGAGAGCATTATTAACATGGCAAAATATGCCTGCTTTGCAAGCTATAAGAAAAGAGGTTTACATTATTTTGCATGTAAATGGGAACTTCTTTTAGTATAATGTATCAGTCAATTTCAAGGATAAGCACCTGGACTGACTTTGAAAATGAGTCTAGAGGTCATTCGGAAGTGGCCAGGTAGTATGAGAGTGAAATAGGATCTACTTTTGAAAAAATCCTGCCCACTTTGCTGATCTTGACCAACCCGAAGAGCTGCTTAAGTAATTATTTCCCTTGTGTTTACACACCTATCAATGGTTTGCCCAAGGATCAGGAAAGAAGCGGGCAACCCATGGAAATTAGACTAAGTGAAATGCACATGGGTAGGGAATTTGACATCCTGAACATCCCCAGGGTGGGAAATTTGACTCAGCTGCCATCTTGGAAAGTGGGACCAGGGAATGAGTGGTAAGAGGTCCGCCATCTTAGAAATTACCCAATAGTCATTTGGATGAGTTTCCCATATTATGATGTGTTTATTTCTTTGTGAAGGATGGCAGAACGAAATTTTAATAGGAGTATCTTGTTGCTTTTTAAGTTTTTGAAGTTTTCAGACAAAAAGGAGGGAGTTTTAACAATGACGACGGCGATGGCAACAACAACAGCAATAGGTTAATTAAGCAAAACAACTTGTTTGCACGGGCATCACGCTTTTTTGTACATTTCTTAGCCGTTACTGCAAGACTCCGACGTAAAAATGTCTAATTTCACATTTCATGGAAAACATAATCACGTGACGACGAAATGTTCACTCTCTTTCTAAACTTGAGAGCGGTCCCCTAGAAATCAACTCGGGGAAATTGGCCTACATTAGACATTTTCAGGGAATTGGAATAAATGAAACAAAGTTTGAAAAAATGGTAATCCATTTTAAAAGTGTTGTTTTCACCGCCGTCGCAGTCATGAATGCTAAACTCCCTAATACTTTGTCTAATTTGAAAATATGCTTTCTACTAATATGTTTTCACCAGATGCTGCCCTGCAAAAGTTTTTGGTATAACAAAAAGATCAAAAAATCATACTGGACCACAGTTGCAAACACCAGCCCTTATGCATCAGCGCATTCCAGCTGCGCCCATTTGAAAACCTGAAAATGTCAAATTTT